ATATCTGGTTTATTTTAGGTATGTAAAATATTCTTTCTTTCATGCCCACCTGGCATTTATACATATTTCTTATATCATCCTTTGTGTCTAAATGCAGACAATTTTTTTGCCACTTCTGGGGCTTGAACCTAAGCCCTGGGTGCTGTTCCTGAGCTTTTGTGCTCAAGGCTAGTGTTCTATCACTGGAGCCACAGTTCCATGTACAGCTTTTTGGTGATTAATTGGGGATAAGAGTCTCACAGATGGGCTGGGAAGGTGGCTCAGTGGTAGAGCGCTTGCCTTGCATGCATGAGGCACTGGGTTCGATTCCACAGCACCACATAAGCAGAAAAAAAAAGCCAGAAGTGGCGCTGTGGCTCAAGTGGTAGAGCACTAGCCTTGAACTGAAGCTGAGGGACAGCGCCCAGGCCCAGAGTTCAGGCCCACGACTGGACCCCCCCCCCCCCCCTGCAAAAAAAAAAAAAGAAAATAAAAAGAGTCTCACAGACTTTCCTGCCCTGGCTGGCTTCAAACTGTGATGCTTAGACTTCAGTCTCCTAAGTAGCTGGAATTACAGACATGAGCCACACATATATGGCTAATACTCCTTTTTTTATGTAGAATTACAAGATATGAAGCCAACACAGTTTATATAATATTAATATGTAATGTTCATGTTAAATAAGGAAGGAATGTCCATATTATTAATTTGTGTGTGTGTGTGTGTGTGTGTGTGTGTGTGTTGATACTGGGTTTAAACTCAGGACCTGAGTGCTGTTCCTGAGCTTTTTTGCTCAAGAATAGTGCTCTACCTTTTGAGCCACATTTCAACGTCTGGATTTTTTGGAAGTTAATTGCAATCGAGTCTCACTGACTTTGCTGCCCAAGCTGGCTTCGAACCACAATCCTCAGATTTCAGGCTTCTGAGTAGCTAGGATGACAGGTCTGAGCCACCAGCACCCAGAACATATTATTCATATTTTTATTTTATTAATTGCTCACATGGTTTTAGTTGGTATATTACTTATAGTCATCAATTTTCCTTTCCCCTTTCACATTTCATTTGTCTGCAGTTGGTCATGCTTCCTTGTCTGGTAGGGCAACCCAAGCCCCTAAATTTGGGATGATTTGTATCTTTTTTTTTTTCTTGTCAGTTGTGGGCCTTAAACTCAGGGCCTGGATGCTGTCTCTGAACTTACTAGCTCAAGGCTAGTGCTCTTCCTTTTTGAGCTACAGCACCACTTCCTGTTTCCTGGGGGTTCATTGGAGATAAGAGTTTCAAGGACTTTCCTGCCCAGGCTGGATTCAGACCATGATCCTCAGATCTCAGCCTCCTGAGTACCTAGCATGACAGGTGTGAGCCACCAGTGCTCAGCTTTAATTCCATGTTTTAAAATACTTCTTTTACTATGTGGTTAATAATGTGGTGTTAAAATGAGATTAAATGTCAATCAAAATTCAAAACATCAACAGACAATGTTTTGGAATATGGCTGGATAGAAGGAACATCATCATTTCATGCCATGAATGTGTGACTGGGCACCAATGGCTCATGCCTGTCATCCTAGCTACGCAGGAGGCTGAGATCTGAGGATTGTGGTTTGAAGCCAGTCTGGCAGAAAAGTCCTTGAGACTTTTTTTTGTGTGTGGTCATGGGGCTTGAACTCTACGTCTGGGCACTGTCCCTTCAGCTCAAAGTGAACGCTCTACTGCTTGAGCCACAGCGCCACTTCCAGTTTTCTGGTGGCTTATTGGAGATAACAGTCTCACAGACTTTTCCTGCTGGGATGGCTTTGAACTGTGATCCTCAGATCTCAGCCTCTGGAATAGCTAGGATTACAGGCATGAGCCCCCAGCGCCCGGCTCCTTGAGACTCTTATCTACAATTAACCAGCAAAAAGCCACCAGGGGAGCTGTGGCTCAAATAGTAGAGCACTAAGTTTGAGAAAACAAAGCTCTGGGAGGGTTCCCAGGACCTGAGTTCAAGTCCCAGTCCCAGTACGTGCACACACAAAAAAGGGAGGGGCAATGCTTGTGTGACTGTCAGGTTGCCGGAGCCCAGGATTTCTGGTGTCACTCATCTTCCTCCCCACTCTGTTTCCCAGGGAATGAGAACGTGGACATGTGGGCGGGGAACCACAGTTTCCTGGCAGACTTCATCCTCGAGGGCCTCTTGGATGACTCCCTTGCTCACCTCTTTCTTTTCTCCCTGATCTTGGCTGTCTTCCTCATCGCAGTGGGTGGCAACTCCCTCACCATCCTCCTCATCTGTGTAGATGGCCGCTTGCACACTCCCATGTACCTGCTGCTCAGCCAGCTCTCCCTCATGGACCTGATGCACGTGTCCACCACCATCCCCAAGATGGCAGCCAACTATCTCTCTGGGAAGAAATCCATCTCCTTTGTGGGCTGTGGGACCCAGCACTTCCTCTACCTGTGGATGGGTAGTGCTGAGTGCCTGCTCTTAACTCTCATGTCCTACGACCGCTATGTGGCCATCTGTCACCCTCTGCGTTATTCTGTGCTCATGAGCAGAAGGGTAGTTCTGATGATGGCTGCTATGTCGTGGCTGGGAGGGTCCATGAATTCCCTCATCCACACTGTGGTCCTGATGCATTTCCCTTTCTGTGGAGCCCGGGAGATCCAGCACTTCTACTGTGAGTACCCGGCAGTGGTGAAGCTGGTGTGTGCCGACATCACTGCCTACGAGAGCACTGTGTACACCAGCAGCCTCATCCTTCTCCTCATCCCCATCCTCCTGGTGTCCACCTCCTATGCCTTCATCCTGCACAGCGTGGTCCACATGCGCTCGGCTGGCAGGAAGAGGCATGCCTTTGCCACATGCAGCTCTCACCTCACGGTGGTGGCGCTCTTCTTTGGGGCATCCATCTTCTCCTATATGAGGCCCCGGTCTCAGCACACCCCACTGCAGGACAAAGTCGGGTCTGTGTTCTACAGTATAATCACCCCCACCCTCAACCCCCTCATCTACACACTCCGCAATAAGGATGTCGCCAAGGCTCTGAGAAAAGTGTTGAGGTGAGATACTCTATGACTCAAGGACTGTCCTTGCTCAGAATAAAGCGTGGAAGAGGACGAAGCTCCTTCAGTTGATCTGGGTAAATCTTTTAAGAGGGAGAAAATGAGGGAGAGGGTAACACTGTTCAAAAAGAAATCTACTCCTTACCTGACTTCTGTCATTGTAACTCTTCTGTATATCACCTTTACAATAAAGTTTAAATTAATTTTTTTGTTGTTATTATAAAGGCAACATAAGTCAGGTAAAGAGTACATTTCTTTTTGGACAATGTCACTCCTTCCCTAGCTCTCTCCCAGTTTTTCCCTCCCATCCCAACCTGCAAGTTGTATAGCTCATTTTCAACATAGTGTCCAGTACGTACCACGGTTGCATTTATTCATCCTTTGCCCCTCCATTTCTGTGCCTCCGCCTTATCCTTCCAAAGACAGATGCACAAACAAGGCATAAAGAAAATAAAACAAAAAAATACCAACAAGAAAAAACCCCCTCTTGCTTCCATTTCTTGGAGTTCATTTTCATAAATATTATTTTGTATTGGATGCCCACAGGTATTGATTGCACCATTGTGTTCCTCCCTAAGAACACCCTCCTTTGGTTTCAGTGTGTGTTAGTGCCTCGAGTCCTGTATAACTTATCATGCAAACTAGATAAATCTTGAAGATTTCTTTGAGCAGCACATAAGTGACGTGGTCATCAGACAGTTCTATGATTCCAATGTGATTGCTGGACTTCGAACCTGATGGAGACTTATATCAGTTTATTTGTAGAGTACTAGGGAATCATTAATTTTGTTTTTGGGTGGGGCTAGGGACTGAACTCTGTGGCGTGCATTTGCTCGGCAAGCATTTGTGGCTGGAATCATTATACCAGTTGGTTTATGTTTTTAGTTTTTCAGTTGGGGTTTCCTGCTTTGCCTTTGGTTGGCCTCATAGCATGATCCTCCTATTTCTCCCTTCCAGGCAGCTCAGATTACAGGGGTGTTTCTTCATGATGGGTTCTGGGAATAACGGAGCTGAGAGATGTAAAGCTCTCCTGATAGTCCTGTCTTTGTGAGTCTGATAATAGGACCTAGTGATGTAGCTACAATGGAAAGGCAAGTGACTTAGGAAGACATCAATAAATGTGAGACAGAGCTGGGGTGACACGCAGAGAAGCTGAACATCATTTTATATCTACACTAGACACAAAGGGAAACTTTTGCTAAGGACCAGGTTGGAGCTGCCCACTCCCCTTCCCCAACCTTTTCCCAGTATAATGGGATGGAGAATGCAAACTTTGTGAGGGTATGATTTGCTCACCCCATACTGGAGGTACTGTCCCCCCACCCCTGGCCCCCAGCCAGCCATAACTAGAGAACCCTGGCTGCGTTGCAGTCCATTTTGCTAGAAGAATACCAGCCTGGATGACATGGGTACAATTTGCAAACCTCTCTTGGGACAAACTCAGAGTTGTACCATATAGTGACTCCTCTCTCTTGAATCGTCTGTCAAAGGGTGAGGAGGTAGCCTTACCCATAGCATTCTTGGACCTCTTACTAGAGAGTGCCAGCTCTTCATCCAGAATTATTATTTTCATTTTTATTTGTTGGTTCTGGGACTTGAACTCAGGGTCTAGGTGCTGTCTTGGAGCTTTTTGCTCAAGGATAGTGCTCTAAGGAATTATAAATTAATTTTGTTTTTGGGTGGTGCTATGGATTGAACTCTTGTAAGGCTTGTAAGCAAGTTTGGGAGTAAGGGTTCATTTGTAACTCTCAATATCTTTTTATTGCTCTTTAGTATTGGCATTTTATTTATTTATTTATTTTTCGGTCTTGGGGTTTGAGCTCTGGGCTTGGGCACCATCCCTGCGCTCTTCAGCTCAAAATGAGTGCTCTACCTCTTGAGCCACAGCGCCACTTCCGCTTTTCTAGTGGTTTATTGGAGGTAAGAGTCTCATGGACTTTTCTGTCCGTGCTGGCTTTGAACCGTGATCCTCAGATCTCAGCCTCCTGAGTAGCTAGGATTACAGGTGTGAGCCACTAGTGCCCAGCTAGAGCCACTGGTGGCCGGCTTTGGCATTTTAATATAATGTGATACAGGAGGTCCTTTGCTGGCCATGTCTATTGAGTATTTTGTATGTGGATTTCCATTTCTTCCCAAAGTTTGGGTGAATTATACAATCATGAAATGGGTTTTCTATACTCTTAGTTTGTATCTCAACTCTTTCTGCTCCAGAGATTCTAAAGTTTGGCCTCTTGCTTGTGTTCCAGAATCTTTGAAGGCTGTGGTCATGCTTGTTCTCCCTCTCCCTCTCCCCCCCCCTCTCTTTCTCCCTGAGTACAGAATTTCTGCAGTCTTACCTCAATGTTTTATCTTGTGCTTGTTCTAGTCTACTAATGATGCCTTCTGCTCTGTGTTTTATTTGTGATTTACAGAGGTTCTCATTTCCAACATTTACATTCAGTGTTTTGTCTTTGTTTTTGTTTCCAGAATCTTCTTGTCCTTTGCTGAATATCTTATCTGTGTTGATTACTTTCTTGGACTTATTTCCTTTCTTAAGTTGTCTGTTTGAATCTTCTTTAAGAACTCTTTTATAACTTTATTTTGCTCTTTAAAATTTTTTGTTTTTG